AAAGCTAAAGTTGACAAGGTTGTAGTTCATCTTCTGACCTGTTAGGGGTCGATAGGTTAATATTTGTAGACTATTTTATTGTCGAATGAGGAGAACCGAATGCGGAATCATGAAAGAAATGATGTGTCTTCGAGGAGGATATGGTCTGCTTGAGGATATTTTCAGGAAAACAAAATGCAGGTGCAGCAATTTAGATACAAGTATGATGCAGTCAGTTGGAAGGCATACTACGTAGTCTTCGAGTAAATAGTACAGTAGATAAAAGCGACTCATTAAATAACAGATTTCGTGCTGCCGTATTTAGCATCCCTACATGTAACACGAGATCAATTTTTTAAGCTAAAATTCATAAAGCAAATAAAGCAAAATACTTAATGGAAGATAAAAAAATAAATTTGAATGGCAATAAAAAGTTAGGAAAATTCAATTGGTTCGTTAAAGATTATTCACCATTACCAGAATTTTTGAATTCGGGAAATGTCTACTCTTTACTTAATGTTCTTTGAATTTTAAGTGGTTTCATGTTCCATGACAACGCAAGCCTTATTGCTTCGAAAAACACCAAAAATGTCAGCTTCATATATGACACCCAAGTTTTTTTACGTATTAAATCTCATTAAACCTGCATGTTATCAATAGTTTATATATATATATATATATATATATATATATATATATATATATATATTTATAGATGGGTTGATAGATGTGTGTGTTTGTCTGACGATGTGGGTCACAAACTCACATCTATGGTGTATGTTAACTCTATCTGATATTGCTTTCTAATAAGTACCGCGCATATAATATATAAATAATTATACATATATATATATTTATTTATATTTATATTACTTTTCATATATATATATATATATATATATATATATATATATATATATATATATATATATGTGTGTGTGTGTTATGTGTATGTATGTGTGTGTGCGCGTGTATTTATGTAATTATGTAATTACTTGTAATTACTTCTCATACAGTCCTTCGCAAAGTGATATATCTTCTCACATGCATAAACACAGACACGAAAGTACTCACAGACACAAACATGCGTAAGTAAATCAATATTCCTACAACTAAATAATTAAAAATATATTTCTTACGTAAAAACGCAAGAAATATTTATTTTCAGTCACATATAATTCCTTGTCAACGCACCGAATATTTTTTCCGAAGTTTCTTTTATTTTATTCCGAATTCTAGGATTGAAATATATATATATATGACTGAAATATATATATAATGCACAATGAAATCCAAATCATATCATATGGGAATAGCTTTATTTAATTTAACTACTACAATGAAATTTCTAATTGGAACATGAACTCTATACCGAGGTTGAAGAAGACTGACGAATTTCGTCGGTTGAAATAAACCCATTCCCTATATGTGGTGATTTGGGATTTTGTTGTGTATTAATTATTTGCTCTTTAATAATAAATATACTCAGCTCTTTTTGTGGGTCAGTTTTTTTATATTTTATATTACTAGGATCAACTTGGTTTATATACAATTGGATTTTTTTACCTTTATTCTCTCCTCCCCTCTCTCTTTTTCTCTCTCCCTCTCCCCCCTCTCCTCTCTCTCTCTCTCTCTCTCTCTCTATATATATATATATATATATATATATATATATATAAGCATGTTCACTGTTTTCGCGGGAAAACAGCATATAGCGTAAATGAAAATGCCACAAACTTAACTAAAATAAAGTTTTATCGTCAAAATGCTTATGTTATTATTAAGATGAAAGACCAAAGTATTTTTTAATTATTTTGGAAATTTTTTAATCCTTTCTAACACGTTCGAAATTTTGGTTAAATTCTTCTTTTGTTTACGTCATCGCGGCGTCGCAGAAAATAACATATTTTTTTTTTGCGATTTTTTTCTGTTGAAAACATATTGATTTGGAAATTCTTGTAAAAATCAAGTAATTGTCCGATTTTAATGAAATTTTCAGAACTTATTCACAAATTAATGAAATTATTTTTGAAATATTTTTTTTTAGAAAATTTTGGTAAAAAATATATTTTTTTAAAATATGTTACCCCACATTTACTTAATTTAATGAAATTTCGCCCAAAACCTTTTTGGTTCCTGAATTTTTTTTTGTTAAAAGTAGGAGTCTTCGAAGATGCTAAATAACCTACTTTTTTTTTTCAAATTTGAGCTATTTAACTGAAAATGTGCTCTGAATTGAAAAATAATGAATCCAATAAAACTATGATATTACTTAATTAGAAAAGCTTTTAATTGATTTTGTAAATAAGTAATATTAAGGACATTATTATCTGAAGAAATTTTTTTTTTCTGATGAATAATTAATTTTTACAAGAATTTTTTCGTTTTTTAAGAAATTTTAATTATAATAATTTATAATAGTTTTAAATCGTGTAAAGCTCTGTATTATGAGGTTTCCTCGAGGTGATGTAGTAATTAAGTAGAAAAAAAAAATTACGAGTCCAAAATTGTTAAGTTTAATAAATTTAGTTGCGCTACTTTTTTTAAAAATAATTTTTTATGTTGTATTTTTTTACTTAATACATTCCTTATTTCCATGTATGATATACAGAAATTGCCATTATTATAACAAGGTCACGTGATCTAAGGGTTTTGTCCCTTTACGCGGCCTTTTCATAACATTTTGTTTCTTACGGGTTGTATTTTCCGTTCAGCTTTAAAAGTGTAAACTTTAAATTTTAAAGTAATTTTTCTTTTTTTCATTTACTATTTCACTAAATAATTTTATTTTATGTATTGTATTTCCATAAGTGTGTGTCATACTCAAATAGAATAAATTTTAAAAACTCAGACTTAAAAATTATGTCATTTATGGTCATCAGTAGTAGCTGTCATCGGTTCGTCATTCAACAAGATTAAAGAATCCATCAATAATTCGATCAGATGAACAGGACCGCTCGTTAATAATTGGTTGTATATTATTTTTTTATGCTATAAGTAACAAAGATTTCTTTCAAATCAGATTACTTTAACTTTAAATTTTTTAATTTTACTAAAATAACGTGTCATAAATTTTCTTAAATATTTTCAAAATCGATAAATTTGTGTTTTGTTTACAAATTTCTTAAAATTAAGAAAATGGCCCCATTTTAGAAAAATTAAAAATTTGAATTTAAATTTGACAATCAAATATAGTTTCTATCTGAAATACACCAGAATTGTTTAATTAATGGAAATCATAAATTTAACGATTAAACTTTTTTAAAGCTAAAATAAAATCTTCAAGAATGTTTTTTATTTGTAAAAAATTCATTTTAAACTTAAATATAGAAAATTTATGCCGAAATAGTGGAGATACTTATACATATATATATATATATATATATATATATATATATATATATATATATATATATATATATATATATATATATATTTGGTTGGATAGATGTGAGTTTGTGACACTGGGTTTCACGCTTTAGCGATCTTTAGACAAGCTGATTATTTTTTTTTTAAATTTGGGTGTATGTAGATTGCGTGTATTGGGTGTTATTGTGGAAGTGGTGGGGAAATTTCGTCGCTTATGTCATCGTACTAACGCATACATCGATGTATACAGCCACATATACATACTTGGTCGTCCGTCGGGACTCGGCAATCTACATAAACCCAAATTTTTAAAAAAATTAATCAGTTTGTCTGACGATCGCTAAAGCGTGAAACCCAGGGTCACAAACTCACATCTATCCAACCAAATATGTTAGCTCTATCTCTGATACTGAGCGCTTTCCAATAAATACCGCGCATATAATATATAAATAATTATACATATATATATTTATTCATATTTATATACACTTTTCATATATATATATATATATATATATATATACTTGTGTATTTAGGCAGCAATCCTTCTTACATGCACATTTTATTGAATACGGCAGACAAGGTTCTTTTATTTAGTTTTTTTATACAATTTCTCATGCGATCTAATTTTTTTTCTTTTCGGATGATAAATTATATAAAAACTGTACGAAAGTTCTTTTTATCCGAGCGCTTTCGGCTATACATTTAGCCTTTTTCAAAGATTAAGGATTTTAAGTGTTAAATAAGAAATAGTTTGTTTTATGTATGTTTTATAAACTGTTTTCATTTTTCAAAAGACGGTCAAAATATTGTGTCCATGTTCAACGTTAATGTTATTAAGTGTTGTTTTGTTTTTATTAATAAGGCTTCCATTATTTTTAGCCTTTTTTTTGCATGTAGATTTATAGGTGTAATTAATAATTCTTTACCAAAATACATCCTCTTTGTACATTTAAAATTAATGTAAGCATCGGAAGCACATGAACATCTTGCAAATCGACAAAAAATTATTTATTTTTTTCTATCTCCTATGCATCGAACATACAGTCAAAAAAAATTAAATACAAATTCAGTTAATAAATACTGTACATTTACTGAATACACTCACATAAGAATTATATATCGATTCTATCTTAAACTTCAACAGGTTGATAACATTACGTATATACATATACTGTATCAACAATTTTGGCAATATATTATTTAACCGTATGCGTGTTTGCATATTCTTTGGGCGTAAATGTTTCTTTGCAACTTACAATCTGTGTCTGAGGTAGTGTCGGGGTTAAAGTCTGAAGAAATTGAAAATGTCGAAATCCGGTCGACTGACATCAGGCTTCACAGTCAATTGATGAGTTCTCTGGTGAACGCTAACCCAGAATTGACCCAAGAAGGCGCCTAAGTCTATCCTAATGATAATCCGGACGTGCGGCAAGCGTCACCCTGTTTAATGATGAAGAGCTGCCGAGGAGATCTGTTCGAATTTGAAATTAAAATAAACTGAGAGTATGATGAATCTGACAAAAATATATACCGCCAGAAAGAGAAAGAGAGAGAGAGAGAAAAAGAGAGAGAGAGAGAAAGAGAAATTGTGTCTGTGTGTGATATCAATCGTTTACCAACCTTGCTCTCCATCCTTGCTCATTTCAACCATGCTCTCGCTCGCCCTCTTTCCTCCCCGTCATTGCTCTCTCTTGTCTCTTCATCCTTGCTCTCTCCTTCTCTCTTTGCTTTTCATCCTTGATCTCTCTGACCTGTCTCTTCATCCTTGCTCTCTCCCTGTCTCTTTGCTCTCCAAAAGTGCTCTCTCTCCCGTCTCATCATCCTTACTCTCTACATCTCACTTTGCTTTCCATCCTTAGTCGATCTTTCTCTTGTCTTTTCATCGTGGCTCTTTCCTGCTCTCTCTGCTTTTCATACTTGATCTCTCTCACCTGTCTCTTCATCCTTGCTCTCTCCCTGTCTCTTTGCTCTCCAGCTGTGCTCTCTCTGTGTCTCATTATCCTTACTCTCTACATCTCTCTTTGCTTTCCATCCTTGATCTCTTTCTCTATCTCTCTAGTCTTTAGATCGTTGCTCTCTCCTTCTATCTTTGCTTTTCATCCTTGACTTCTCTGACCTGTCTCTTCATCCTTGTTCTTTCCCTGGCTCGTTGCTCTCTTTCTGTGCCCCCTCTCCTGTCTCATCATCTTTGCTCTCTACATATCTCTTTGCTTTCCATCCTTGATCTCTCTTCTGTCTCTTGATCCTTGCTCTCTGACACTCTTTGCTCTCCATCATTGCTCTCTCCTCGCTGTCTATTCTTGCATGTCGTTTCTCTTTCATTCGCTCGATTTCATCGGAACTAAAATATTTTCACTATTGTTTCTTGCCAATCCGTTCCCTTTTACTTTCAAAAAGTGATTCCCGCCAAGGTTTTACTTTCCCATTTCTACCTAATCTACTCTCCTAGCCAATTTTTCCCAACCAGTCTCATCTTTGCAACTTTTCAAGGCAATTTCTTTTTAGAGTCTTTCGCCTAAGCGCACCTTTACAATTGTTTTCGACCATGTTCCTTTGTACAATTTCTTCAACCAAAGGATTTTAAATTCTTTTCAACAAAGCTCGTTTTTACAGTTTCTGCAACCAAACTCTCCTTGAAATTTTTCAAACTAAGGTCTTCTTCCAACAAAGCTTTCCTTTACATTTTTCATAATGCTCTCCTTTATAATTTCTTCAACAAAACATTAAATTTTCCAACCAAGCTCTCCTTTGAAATTCTTCCAAGCAAGTCTTTCTTTTTTTATTTTTCGAAACAAGCTTTCCTTAACAATTACTTCAACGAAACACTCTTTTAAAATTCCTCCAACTAAGCTCTCCTTTCCAATTCATTCAATCAAACACTCCTTTACATTTTTCCAGACAAGCTCAACATTTTTACAACCAGGCTCTCCTGTACAATTGCTTAAAGAAAACGCTTCTTTACAATTTTTCCAAAAACTATTGTACAAGAAATTTAACAAAAATCGATGAAACTTTGAATGGCAAGAGATGCTAATCCTGAATGTCCATTATTGAACAATTACAGCTTGTTAGTAAAAATTTATTAATTCATCTTCGTATCTCACTTCATTTATTTACCACTGTAATATACATTATTATTTCTAAGTGCTACAAATTGAGTCCAATTTCTATCAATGAGACTTATCGTATAGAACTACAAAAATTGATGGCCGAAATCATTTCTAAACATTTGTAATATTTAATATTTGGTATATGAAAATCGCCGTTAATGTAATAATATTTTAATCATATCGCGTTTTTTTTCTCACAAATTTAAGCTAGTGAGCTAGGATACACATTATTTGTTTTTGAATATATATATATATATATATATATATATATATATATATATCAGGGAAACGGTTATTACATCACGAAAATATGTTAATAAATTAGTAAGTCACCCTAGAATAAAGATATAAATGGTATAAATTTACAAGCAATGGTTTAAATTTATCCAGGCGAAACAAAAGAAGTAAAAAATTTGTCTGGTTAAATTTAAACCATTATTATAATTTATACTATTTATACCTTCGGTCTGATGAGGCGTACCCGGTCGAAATAAATCATGATTTATTACCATATTTTCATGATGTGTTAAGCTTTCCCTTGAGGTATATCTTATTGCTCTGTATTCTATACATTGAATTCTCTACGGATCTATCTTTTTAATATTTTATATTAAAAAGAACCACTTCTATTATCCTTTCCACGTACGAATGTGATATATATATATATATATATATATATATATATGATCATTTCTCACAAAAGCGCATGTATAGAATGGTGGAAGAGAAAAACCTAAATTTGCACGCCAACTGAACTTAGTTACACGATGGCGTCAAGCTTTGTTTATATTCTTTAGAGGATCTTGAACGTTGATTGGTTATAAATTGACCTATGAATTTCCTGAGATATTTAATCTGGTTTGGCAGGCACACGACGCGATTTCCGCGGGAGATCATATAATAGCCCACTTAATTGAAGCATTGTTTTCTGTTGGGGAGAAATTTGCTGCTGAAGTGTTTATCGAAGAAACGTTTGGAAGAAATATTACTGCACAGTTGATACTTTTTTAAACGTTGTAAAATATTACCTGAAGGACAGCATTGATCAGGCCGAAATTCAACAGAAAAAAACAAATAAAAATTAATCGAGATTTTGAAAAAAAAATTTGTATGTCAGTTAAAAATTGAAATTGCTATTTCGAAATTTTCTACAGTAACTTTTTCAAGTTTTGATAGATTGAATTTGAGTACAGAATAGTATATACAATGTCCGATTTTATTATGCTAATCCCTTTTTTCCCGGTGTTAATAAAATTTACATAAATCCTATGAATCTATGCCTCTATTTGAAATATTTGCAATAAATATCGGCCAAGTTCGTTGCCTTGATTTTCTCAGAAATAACCCTGGCAAAGTTATAAATACACTCTTCCCCAGCGAGCATTTGATTAGAGTCTGTCTATATTTCTGAGATGAGGTATTATGTACAGTATTTACATTAGTCGGACTATTGTCCTCATCTTTGTCACCATATTTGTCACAACGTTTCGGCCGTTGTACGCTCCGACCTTCTTCAGGTGGTGTCCTCAAGGACACATGGCACAGTGGATAAAGGCGTTGGTTAGATCTAGTGACAGACCCAAAAGAAGGTGAGTTCAATACCTGGTTAAGGCAGTGGAGAACTTTTAGAGGGAAAATTAGCAGGAGATAACTGATAACTGACATCCATCAAACATAGCACGTGGAACTAGAACAGTCTACCCCAGTGATCGAAATAAAGGGTTCAGTTCGAAATTCCAACCACCTGAAGAAGGCCGGAGCGTACAACGGCCGAAACGTTGTGACAAATATGGCGACAAAGATGTGAACAATAGTCCGACTAATGTAAATACTGAGCATTTGATTAGATAACAGATCAGGCTTGCTTGGCCTAAAAGTATACACAGTCTTGCCTGGCTCACAGTTTACATGTAAAACTCGGAATATATGGGGAGGACGGTTTGAAGACTTGGTGGCACGCTCAGCACCATTCTTGTTATCAGACTTTGGCTGACTCTACAAAGAAAACTTCATGGCAATAATTAAATCATATGCATGGGTAGTTTTAGCAGTTCATTTCTAAAACTGAACTGATTGGCCCTCATACATCAAACAATTACCTATAGAATCTACTATATATACATATAAATATAATTTAGCGTTGGTTGTTGCAAAGATATGGCACCATAAAGAAACAAACATTGCGTGATCGGAACCCAGCATTGGAATCAAAATTGAAATTAATGGCAAGAAAATAACGAGAAAATCAACTTAAAATAATCTTCTCTATGCAGTGTCCCAGCAGGGCGTCGGAGATGTGCCTCTCATGGTAGAGAAATCATCTTCTTGGGAGTCGTTTACGCAAAGCAGTGTGAGTTCACTACCTGGTTAAGGCAGTTGTGAACTTTCAGAGGGAAATTAACAGGAGATAACTGATAAATGACATCTATTAAAACATGGCACATGGAACTAGAACAGTCTATCCCAGTGAGCGAAATAAAGGGTTCAGTTCGATATTCCAAACACCTGAAGAAGTCCGTAGCGTACAACGGCCGAAACGTTGTAATAAATATAGCGACAAAGATGAGGACAACAGTCAGAATAATCTAAGAAAGATAATTCGTCTGAACATTTGCCATAAAAATAGCCATAGATTAACGATATGCTTGCAACATTTCGTCTGTGGGAAAAGAATTGTAGGGGGTGAAAATAACCAATTACCCACACGGATGATTTGGGGAATTTAAACAGAGAAGAAAGATGTACTGAATTTTTCAAACATTAGGTAATAAAAAGAAAGCAACCAAACTACCGACTTTAAGTCAACAGCAAAATCACTAACACGTAAATTAGATGAAGAAGTACATGAAAACTCATTTCTCGGGAGTCATTTTTAGCGATAAAAATCTAAAAACGGCCGATTTTGAAGCTTTATTAGAAGCGTCAACACGTGTTAGACAGATATGATTTGTGAGACCTTGCAAAATTATCGGTTCTCCGAAAGTCGATAATGTTGTCAAGATAAATACAAAGAATTACTGTGCGTTCTTGAGAAAAGCAATTTTAGAGTAGACCAGTCATCAACCGTATTGTGTATCGCGACGTTGCTATGGTAACAGAGATAAAGTAAGTAGAGTGAAGCCGCTTGGCGCAGATAGGCCATGAACTCTGTTGCATATACTCTCTAATATATAATGTCCTCCTCAATCACTTTCCTTATTCATATCAATTCTTAGAAGGAAAGTGTGTAGAGTGTGGTCATCTCACCCCACCCTTGAGGTTACATCAGTGGCCATGGCTGGTGCAGCAGTTTTTGGCGAAGCATAGCATTCTCCAAATACGAGAAACACCGTATTCTTCACATCTTGCCCCAAAATAAACTTGAACGGAACAAGCTTTCAAGACGTCAAGAGAATGAAAAGGGGCAGCTGCTCACAATCCCCCAAAGTGGGAACGACTCTGGATAAAGTTTATGGTTTCAGAAAGATACTACTTTGAAAGAGATTAAATGCCAAATTTATCTGTGTTGTAGTTTTCTTTTTGATAGCCTTTGTCTCGATACTTTTTTCATCAAACCTCGTACGACGAGGCACCTTCAGATTTCGGTGCCATATCTCCCGTTCTCTTTGAAAAAAACCTCCAAGATATTTAATCCTTTGCACTTAATTTATTTTTGTGTCTCTGATTTATAGTTCGTATTGTGTGCTCTTCTTTTTGCTGACAACCATGCATTCTGTCTTCTTACAATTGATGTTTATTCCTTTCTTCGGCCTTTCCTTTACTATCTTCTGTGGAAGCCTTTTTAGTTTTCTTTCTTTGTTATTTTCATATCAAGAATGTGGCCGCCAATAACATCACGGGAACATATATTAGTATATAAAATAATAATAATCTTTTCAAGTTTGTAAAATATTGCGTCAATGGAATATCCCTGTTTATAAAAGTTATTAATACTTTTTCTAATAAGGAGAGATATTGAATTTCGCATGATATTTTGTGCATATAAATTTGAGTACATCCTGTGTATTGTACGAAGATTGGTTGGTTAATAAGTTTATTGTGATAATATTCACTTGTGTATTAAAATCTTCCATATTATGTCTAACGAGCGATTGTTATGATATTTAATATTGAACGCTTGGTATTGGACATGA